GCACCGGCGCGCGGCGCCGAGCGGGGCCGGGCACCGAGCGCTGCCCTCCGCCGCAGGAGGAGGCCGAGCTGCGCAGCGACGGCACCAAGTCCACCATCAAGCCCAGCCAGATGTCGGTGGCCCGGATCACGTGTGTGCGCGGGCAGGGCCCCAACGAGGGTGTCCCCTTCATTGATGACTACATCTCCACCCAGGAGCAGGTACGGGGGCCCTGCCCGGCCCCGCTCTGCTCCCTGTGCCGCAGGGAGGACGTGGACCTGCCGCAGGGCTCCTCTGGGGAAGCGGAGGAGACCGTCAGCGCCGGCCCGGGCTGCCCCAGCTGGGGGGAAAGGGAAGCGGGAGGGAAGCGCTGACTGCCCCCAGCCTTCCCTGTGCTCCGTAGGTGGTGGATTATCTGACCCAGTACTCAGGGATCAAGCCGGGAGACCTGGACGCCAAGATCTCCTCCAAGCACCTCACCACTCTCAAATCCACCTACCTGAAGCTGCGCTTCCTCATTGACGTGGGCGTCAAGTTTGTGGGCCACGGGCTGCAGAAGGACTTCCGCGTCATCAACCTCATGGTGACAGCAGCGCCGCCAGGGCCGGGCACGGCAGCCCTGCGGGGCGCCCGGCACTGACCCTCGCGCTCCCAGGCTCGTCCCATGGGATCGGGCTGTGGCCAAGGACCCTCTCTGCTCGCCAGGTGCCCAAGGACCAGGTCATCGACACCGTGTACCTCTTCCACATCCCGCGGAAGAGGATGATTTCCCTGCGCTTCCTCGCCTGGTACTTCCTGGGTCAGTGGCCACCGGTCCCGCAGCCCCCCAGGGCCGCAGCGTTAACTCCCCCCGCGTCCTCCGTCCTGCTCTGCCCTCCTCACGCGGCCGCTCCCCCCAGACTTGAAGATCCAGGGCGAGACCCACGACAGCATCGAGGACGCGCGCACGGCGCTGCAGCTCTACCGCAAGTACGTGGAGCTGAGCCAGCAGGGCAGCGACGCCGAGGACTTCCGCAAGGTGCTCAAGGCCCTCTACGAGAAGGGCCGCAAGCTGGACTGGAAGGTGCCGGAGCCGGAGAGACAG